TAATCTGGAGAAATACATCCTTAATGCTGGCTTCAAAGGATTCCCTGGGAATTCCCTGGCAGTCCAGTGGTTAGGGCTCCATACTCTCACTGCCAAGGGCCTGGGTACAATTCCTGGTCAGGGACCTAAAATCCCACAAGCTGCATGGTGTGGCCAAAAAAGAAAGGATTCCCACAGTTAAACACTCCCAAACGTGAGTTTAAAATCCAAAATTACCAAACACATGAGGAAACAAATCACCATGAATGAAAATCAGTAGAAATAATAAATTGCAGAATTGGACCCCTCAAGAATGTCAGAGAAAGAAGTTTGGAAGTACATAATGAAATAAGTGTTTAAAATATTAAATTAATAAAAGATAGAATCAAAAACATGAGAAAGGTACACAATACTATCCCAAAAGATCAGGCAAATTTGGAAATTTAAAAAAAAGAAAAAAGAACGTCTAGAATTAGATGAGTCATTGAAAATTTAACTCAGTGGTCAGGTTAAACGCAGATTAAATCCAGGTGAAGAGAGAACTGATTAACTGGGGGATGCATCTGAAAAAAATTATGCAGAATTCAGCACAGAGATAAAGAGTGGAAAATATGAAAGAGAGGTTAAGAGAAATAAAGGATAGAAAGAGAAGGTCCTGTTACTGTCTAAAAGGAGTTCCAGAAGAAAACAACAAGGAAGAGGTAGTATTCAAAAAGACAAATGGGGCTTCCCTGGTGGCGCAGTGGTTAAGAATCCACCTGCCAAAGCAGGGGACACGGATTCGAGCCCTGGTCCAGGAAGATCCCACATGCTGCGGAGCAGCTAAGCCCGTGCGCCACAGCTACTGAGGATGCGCTCCAGAGACCGCGAGCCACAACGACTGAAGCCTGTGTGCCTAGAGCCCGTGCTCCACAACAAGAGAAGCCGCTGCAATGAGAAGCCCGCGCACTGCAACAAAGAGCAGCCCCCGCTCGCCGCAACTAGAGGAAGCCCGCGCACAGCAAAAAAGACCCAATGCAGCCAAAAATAAACAAATATATTAATTAATTAAAAAACAACAACAACAGCTGTCACTTGAAAAACCTTCTAAAAAAAAAAGACAAATGACTGAGAATTTTCCAGACCAGTATGATAGGAATGAATTCCTCAGATTGAAGAATTGCAATCAATCTCAGGGAGGGCAAATAAATATCCACACCTTGCTATTATAACGAATATATAGAACACCAAAGAAAAACAACTTACCTATAAAGAATGACAATTGGATTTACAGTAAACTTCTCAATAGCAAAAATAAAGGTCAGAAATCAGTATAATGCTATCTCCAAAGTCTGAGAAAAAATACCTGTCAATTTAGAATGTTATGTTACTAAATGATCATTCAAGAATGAAGATGAAATGAGAGTATTTTCATTCAAATAAAAGCTGAGAGCATTCACCATTAAGATACTTTCACTAAAGACATTTCTTCAGGGTGTCCTTGAAGGAGAAAAATTATCCTAGAAGGAAGGTATGAGACACAAGGAGGAATAAAGAATTGGCCAGTGTGTGAGTAAATGGCCAGACATTACAAAACTAGATTACCTGAATAAAATTAGATTATTTCTTAAGCTAGTTGGAGCATACATGAGCATTCATAATTTTATTCTTTTTTTTTTTTTTTGGCCATGCCACTCGGCTTGCAAGATCTCAGTTCTCCCACAAGGGATCGAACCTGGACCATGGCAGTGAAAGCACCAAATCCTAACCATTAGACCACCAGGAAACTCCCCATAATTTTATTCTTTATTCCTTATTGTGGGGCTAAAATATTTTATAATAATTCTTTTTAATAGTGCAGGGGAGGGAATTCCAGGCAGAGGCCCTAAGGTTGGAAAGAGCTTGACTTACTTACAGAAGTGAAAAAGGCCAGCGTTATCTGGAGCATAGTGAGGAGTAGTGGGGAAAATGAAGCTAGAGAGGGAAGCAGAGGCCAAATCATAAAACCTTTGAAGACCGTTTCAAGGATTTGTCCCAGTCAGTGGGAAACCATTAAAGGATTCCAAACAAAGGATTTAAACAATCTAAATTAAATATTAAGATAATTCTGGCTGCTCCATTTGTAAAGGTCCCGGAGGTACTAAGACCTATTATATGAGGTCTAAACATGTCATTGTATTTCTCACTGACCTCGAATTACCCAGAATTTATTCAGCTGGGATTACCAAGGCATAATTCCCTCCATTTGGCCTGGTGATAATCAGAGTTAATTCCTTTGTACTGCACCACATTCAATTCACCTTAGGGCACAAGAAAAACCCCTAAGCAATGAGACTGTCATTATTCAAATTACAGTGGAAAAGATGTGGCTAATTGCTACCATGTTGAGTGCAGGGAGAAACCTGAAGGTTTGTAGGTGGCTCTAAAGCTGACCCTTGAAGGATGAGGAGAATATGAATTGATGAAGAGGAAAGAG